ATTGGATTTCTGAAGTTTAAGCCGAGTAAGGGGGTAGGTGACATCAGTCTGGGCAAGGTGATGACGGAAGAAAAGTGGGAGCAGCGATGTGTGTTTGGTCGCAAGGGAAGCGGTCCAGGAGAGTTTGATGGGGCTTGGGGTATTGCTGCTCGTCAGCCTGATGAGGTTGCAGTGGCTGAAATCTGGAACAAACGAGTTGTGAACTGCAGCATCGATGGTAACCAGAAAAGCACAATCCCGATGGAAGAAAGTAAGTTTGTGTATGAACTGCTAACAAACGATACACTGGTGCTTTGGTTTTTTTTTTGTAAAAATATTATCATTTATTTCGGAATGGGAGACTTTGAGACGTATGGTGGCGGTAGACAAACCGGTCCTTCTCCTCGGTTGTGCGCGTGCTCAGAACTAACACGAATTCCTAGAACTGCACGCGCATGCCCAGATCAACCAAAAAGGACAGTTGTGTCTGCCGCCACTGTGCGTCTCAAAGTCTCCCATTGCTCGGTGTCAAACAGCGACGTGTCAAGCCTTTGGTGTGTGGGTACCCTTGAGTTTGTATACCTATTCAAATCCTGCACCTATAAAAATAGGGGACAATAGGAACCACGGTTGCTGAAGAGTAAGTTAGTACTTGCAAATGTACTGATTACTTTCTTTCCTACTCACCTATGACGTAATCTAAAACAAACAGGCTAAACAACCCGTCGGTTGGGGGCAAGTTGCCGTCGCTGGATACGCCACTGGTGTCAAGCCACATAACAAGTCTAAAGGCTTTTGCATAGTCACACGGTACCCAGACGGAGGAGGCTCTAAGAGAAAAAAATGATTGGCATGTTTATTTCTCCAGGTATTGCAGGATATGTCATTCAAAGAATGTTCAACTCTCCAGAAAGACTACAGGGCAGTTTAGTTGCGCAATGCATGGATTCTTAAAAACAAATTCAGTGAACCTCAATTCCGGATCAAACATTTTTAAAGGGAGCGCAAACAGCCAAAAGGGGATTTTTTGTGGGCGGGGAAATGCAAAAAAAATAATATTCATTTTTGGGTCACAATTAATGGGGTAAACATCAAATATATGAGGTTTTTGAAGTGGTTACGTATTATTAGTTTTCTTTAATGCTTCAAATGAATTAAATGTTTTCTATTTAACCCTTTAAACATTCAGGGAAATGTAATATGTTCTTCGAATTGTTGGACACGTTTCATCTACACAGTGGGTCATGATCAACATTTTGTCCCGTAAAACTCAAAGCGCGTTTCTGTTTTTGTGAAGTATCTATTTGCCAGCGTTCATTCGTCCATGTTTAAATACTATGCAGCACAGGTAGTGGGCGGTAACGGGGAGAACGCCCTCTTGCTCCTTATTTTGATGGGAAACTTACTTTCTATTCCTAAAGTTCGTTGCCACACGACCGAGTGTTCTAGTATATTAATATTACGAATATTTTAACGCAAGTCTGACAACAACAAAGGTTGAGAAGTGACTCCGGCTGGGCTTATTGTCGTGAGGGAAGGAAAAATTCCAAATTCCACGGACTCGCTAGACAGGGAGGGGGAGGCTTCAATATACATTCTACATGAATCCTTGTTCACTTGCTATGCATGGACGTAGTTACACGTTTAGCTGTTTTTTGTCTCTTCTTCCAAGAACTTCATATTGATTGCTTCGTAATAAATAATTCCAGGTTCCTGGGATTTATTTGTCGAGGAAAGGACAAGTGTTGATCCTAGGTCTCTGGCTTTATAACTCTTCATGAACGTAGTTGGTTGGTTGATGCTTTTCTTTTTGTCTTTCAACTCCAAACAGGGCCACTTGGCATTGCAGCTACACGCACCGGCAATCGCTCAGCAGTTATTGAGGAGAACGAATCCCACGTGAAAGTCTTTGACAAGGACAATACGCTGGCTTTCCAGTTCCCCACAGTGCCACCGAGTGAGGTCGGTAAGACCGCAGTGGACCTCTGGAGTGTAGCAGCCAAGACGGATGGGACCATTGTGGTTGGTGATATCAAGAGAATGGTGCTGACTGAACACAGCCCCACTGATGGCAAACTCAGAAGCACCATCCCAGTCAAGATTGAACCTTGTTATGTGGCTGTTGACAGCAATGATCGAGTTGTAATCAGTGACTGTGAACAGTTAGTCGGGGTTGTTGATGGGAATGGTGATACACTGTTCACCATCAAACCTATCATCGATGGTGAGGTAGTTAGATACTGTACTGGTGTATGCGCAGAAAGCACAGGCATCTATGTTGCAATGCATAATGATGATGAGGACACCGGTCATATCCACCACTATGACCCTCAAGGTGGCTTTCTCCACTGCATCGCAGAGGGTCTGCACTGGCCCAGGGGAATCACATTCACAGCAGATGGGCAACTGGCAGTTGCAGACTGGTACTCAGTGAAGATTTGTGACTTTGTTTAATGTAACACAAACAAATCGATTTCCTTCCGCTTTCTTCAGGAGGAAACAGCAGTAGCATTAGTCGGAAATGTTGCCGTGTGTACAACATTGCATTCAATTTCATGAATCATTTTTTTAATAGAAAATTATATCCACAGAGGTTTGCGAGGGCTGAAATGGAAAGCAAACTACATTAAAATATCACTGAGACGGGATTCAAAAGTATGGGAGCTATATAAAGTGCTTATCATTTAAACAAATTTGCCTTTGTTAGTTTTCCGTTGTTAACTATATTTCCTCTCGACATATGAATTGTTTTCATAGATCCATTTAACAGTAGTAAATGTATCCCAATATTGGTGAGTTATGCCTACCGTGAGCGCTCACAGGAGATAGGGGAAGTTGTTAGCTCGTCTCATCAAAAGAATCAGACTCATTTTAATGCAAACATCTTGCAGGGGATTATCAGATTGAGGAGAGTATAAAAACTGAAAAATAATATGTGAAGTCAAATTGTTCTCATTGAGATTTACATAAAATTTTAATGTTCTCAAAAGCTTACTTTGTGCGAATAGTGGGATAGCGAAGGTCTCATCATTGAAATGGTGAAGTACATTTGTAAAAGTCGATGTGGAACTCACATTAGGAGGAATATTCCCCTCGTAACTAAACTGTCCCTTCGTGTTGAACCGTCTTATTCTTATTTGCAGTTGAATGTATATTACAAATTAATGCTTCGTTAAAACAGGACCAATGTCACCATTTGGAGGAAAGTTATATTAATTCATTCCCCTTTGCAACTCCTTTCAAAATAAAATTCATTTTGTTTTCTCAAATAAAAAATGAACTCAAATATAAAACAAGGTTTTGTTAGAGATTTAAATGATGTTTTCCTCGACGACAGAGGCAAAAGCAAGATGAAATGTGGGTTATAAAAAGCTTTATTGGCAAAATGCTTATTTTTTGTGGATTTTATTTACATAGTTTTAATTACGCACAGCAACAATATTCCACATATATAATATAAACTTTTTCAAAGACTATGCCTCAGTTTTATTTAAAGGCAACATGACCTTTTCACTTTTTTAAATGTGAATATTTATCATGACGTAGGTAATTGACACTGTAAGGGTATTTGCATATCCTTGGGTAAAGTTGTTACTTTTCGGCTGACCTCCTTGAACGTTTCCTGCACAAGGAAGGGTTGAACACGCATCTAAATATTAATACGGCTTTAGTTTTGTTTTTGGTCGCCGACCTGTTACGGGAATCCAAACAAACTGACCTCAGGAAAGAGCTTGGCCTTTTGCTCAGAATGCTGGTTTTCCAGAGCAATCAAGCGCACAGATCCGGAGCGTTAGGTCTGAGGGAACTTTGCTGGAGCGTAAAGAGCGAAATTCAGAGACTTGTGGGTCATTTTACGAGATCGACAAATAATGAATAATCTGGTCACACCCAAGTACGGTTACTGTCCCAACTCAAGATTACCATTCCAACCAAAAGGTGCGGTATGGCCCATTACACTGCATTACTATACTTTGTTATGGTCCGACTGTACGAAGTGTCACTTCCAGAAAAAAAATTGTTTTCTCGACACAATATAGTTGAAATGGAGTTGGAAGGGAGACGAGTTGAAAGGAACTGAACTTGAAGCTTATGACAAGCTGATATTGAAATGACTGTGAATTGGGGCTTAAGGCGGCTTTGGAAACGTATTGTTAAAACCAACGTATATAGGGAGGGGTATAGTTCAAAATGTGGAAGCTAATCAGTTTGAAAATATGTGCAAGAAAAATAAAGCTCGCTGGACTACCATCATGAATTGAAATAATAAGCCAGTTTGTAATTGAGAACTGCGCATACGCGAATGGACTTTTGCAAAGGTCATTTGTACATTAAACGAACTTTTACAGAAAGAAAATTGGTAAAATTGTCAGGTACAAGTAATGCTTATTTTCCCTTGGAGAGCCTTATTAATCTTCAGAAAGCAATAATATGTCGAAAAGTCAATTTAGCAGTGAAAATATCGAAACATTTCAGACCACCCTCATAGGGTTAGTGAACAGGGTGTAAAGTGACATTCACTCCAGGAAATCTGTAAGGAAAGCAGTATCTTAAACTGAAAATGGCAGAAAATGGTGGGTATGGTGGCCCGGAG